CACACACACACACACACACACACACACACACAAGGTAAGTCATTTGCTGTGGACTCCGAGCTTAGGCACTCTCTCAGAAGAAAGCTACCGATTAATACCAAGGCAAGAAACAGCATTCATGAGAGTTTTGCATGGTTCCCAGATCTTTAACTTGAAAATTCTGAAAATGTAGGCTCATGATGTTCTTAAGAAAATACTACAGTCATTTTACCCATTGCATTTTTTATACAGAGACCTGACAGGCCCTTAGTGTAAATAGAATTGTGGCAATTCTAGGCAATGGCACAGAGAAATGGCGTTCTATTGGAGTATGCCAACAAGCTCATTGTAGGCATCCTTTTATCAAGTAGTGAGAATACTCCCTGTGAATCCTAAAGATAGTTCATTGGAAACCATTTTAGAATTTCGTGTATGGTAACTTTGTTTTATTTGAATAATGCTGATCCTTCTGGAAAAGTTAGTTCAAATGCAACTCTCGCATTTCAATCAGATATTTTAAGCTCTTAACATAGTTATCAATTTACATTCTTTCGTGGTTACTACCTTAGTACAGACATCCCAGGGACTTCTTTCGCGCATTCACTTGCTTTGTCAGTGAGGCAAGATCTTTTTTTTCCCTGTCATTGTTACAAATTATATAGCTGCTTACCTGTGAAGAAGTGTCTTTTTTTTTTTTTTAATCATGACTTTAATTCAAAGTAGCAAGTAACTTGGTTGATTTCAGCAATGCATACCATTTTAGAAGATGCTCAGAAAAAAATATAATGGCATAACTTGCACTTCAGACATGGAGAACTTCTAAAATAGAATTTTCTTTAAAATTTACTAGAATAGATAAGGTAGATGGATTATGTTAAGCTGGAAAATAACTGAATTTGTTTAGGCACCAAATTCTTAAAGTTTTTGTTATGAAAAGTAAATTTAAAATAAGCTTAGCTAAGAAGGAGTAAGGTTAGGGTATGCTTAATGAGTTTGACTTATGAGTAAATTATTATTAACTGTAAATAAGTCTAGATTTTGGGAATGAATGGGATTCTATGTATTATGCATATAAAAACAAATAAGGCCCAAGACCATATGGAGATGCTCCCTAAACCAAAATCTTGCCACTAATTCAGACTGGCTTCTTTAGAATATCAGAAAAAGTGAAGTCTTCAGTCTCATTGTCTGTCCTTTATTTGTTCTTCATCTTGTTGCTCCTATTAGACTTAACTGGAGGTAAAATTACAATGAAATCTACATACAATGTAGACTGGCTCCACATAGTAACATGAGAGTTACTATAGTAGCACTGGGAAAGATCCTTTAACTCCTCATGAAAAAGAAAGAACATATCAAATTATAGCAGAAGAAATTAAGGAAAATATATAAATTGTAAATGTTCTGGAGCAAATTAGTTTTCTCTTGTTGTTGTAGTTGTTAGGTACTGTTGAGTCAATTTGGACTCGTAGCAACCCTGTATAGAGTTTCCAAGGCTTTGTTGTTGTTGTTATATGCTGTCAAGTCGGTTCCGACCCATAGCGACCCTGTACAGGGTTTCCAAGGCTTTACAAGAGCAGAAAACATCATCATTCTCCCAAGTCTTCTCATAGGAATTTGTATTACCTAAAAACATATGATGTGATACTGCAGGATAGTACACTGGACTGCAAGGTCAGTTTGAACCACAAGGTCGGCGAATCAGACCCACCAGCCATTCCTCGAACACCCCATACAGGATCGTTACGGGTAGGAACCGACTTGATGGCTCTTAACAACAACAAGATAGTAAAAAAGAAAAAGGGATAGTTAGCCTTTTTTTTTATCCTGGAAATTATTGAGTTGAAGGTAGTCCTACCCAGAAGCAGACACACACACACCGAGGGGACTTGTGATGAACGGTTCTCTTGGTCTAGAGCAGTTTGGAAATTTTATTTGGAGGGGCAGAGGGTGGTCAGAAAAACTAAAATGATATCTTTCCCTTCAGATTATTCTAGTGGAACCTATTTTGACATTTTTAAAAAGAAATATTATTCTGTCTTTGATATTCTGAAAGTGAGTTATCTTTCAAATGTGGCCATATGTTTTCAGTATGCTCCGTAGCCCACGAAGATGGGAGTATAGGCCGACACAGCGAGCTGCTTTCTCTGGAACTACGGTGGTAGCTGGGGAGCTTATTACCTTTTAGAAGTAGAGCAAGTGAGTTTGCTTTAGACACAGAAAGGAGCTGGTGGCATATACCATGGCCTCTTCTGAAAGTGAGCACCACAACCACAACTGTATTCCCAGAAATATGTCGTAAAACATGTGTATTTTGTGAGGTGCCCTGTCAGCTACTGGTGTCTGCTCTCCACACACAATTAACTTCAGAACGTGAAGGACTTTTTCAGGTGATCTATCAGGTCAAGCACTCTACGGGCATCCCCTTTGGTTGGCCCAGCCAAAGACAAGAGCAGGCAGAAGACAAGGGGCTCTTGCCTCACAGGGTTTTGCCAGGAGTATCACCCCCTCCCTACTTGATTGGGGCATGGAGGGCCCGGTAGGGAACAGAACCAAAATTATGATCATTATTAGCTAATTTTCTCTTACTCCTTTATGCACCAGATTTTTTAAATTTGTAAAGGCAGACAATAGCGACTCAGTTACTTTATTTAAAGAGTGTTATATTCTTTTTTAATGTAAAATCTTTCTCTTATTTTAGCTGGTTCCTCACATTCAAAAAAAACAACTGGCTCCAAAGCATCTACTTCACCATCTACTTCATCCACCTCATCTCGTCCCAAAGCATCAAAGGAGACAGTTGCTAGCAAAACAGGGACAGTGGGAACCACAAAGGGCAAGAAAAGAGCTGGAAAGCATCTAGCCTGTCGACTGTCCTCAGACGCAGCCACGTCTGGTACATCCGACCTTAAAGGGGATCCTTCGGAGGCCGGAGGAGAGAGTCTCAAACCTGAACAGACTGTCCCTGGGACTGAGGAGCAGACCACAGGCAAAACCAAGTCCATAGTCCCTCCGCCCCCCTTGGCTCCACCACCTCCTCCCCCTGCCTCTTCTCTTCCTCCCGAGGATCAGTGCGCTGCTCCCTCAGCCACTCCCGTCGTCCTGGTCAACAATGGGATTGAGCTGCCTCCCTCTGCCCTAGACCCAAGTCAGCTTCTCTGGACTGAAGAGTCAACCAACAAAACCACTCTCCACTCAGGCACTGGCCTAAGTGTCAGCAGAGAAAATGAAAAATGGTGAGTCAGGGCAAAGATTCCACATTCCGTCTGCATTCCCTATGAAGCTGAGTACCAAAGATCACTAAGCCATTCTGTTTGAAATACAGGAATCTTGTTTGTTTTCATATATTATTGAATACAGTGGACGTTAGGTAAGCACCCATGCAGTCCAGCTGTTTGTGTTCTACAGTGTGCCCCAAGACTGGACAGCTGGAGGCAATGGCATTTGTAACACTGAGAAACACCAGTGTGGCTCTTCATTTCAAGGACATTCAGAGCCAACTTCACATGGCTCAGCAGTCCTTCTTCTTGTCCCTGGACAATTGAGCCTTCTGTCTCCTTAAAGTGCTTATTTCAAGTTGTTAGCACTTATGTCCAGATTGTTTCAGTTCAACAAGTGATTTCACTTTCCCCTTCTCCAGGATCTTAAAAGCCACCAGGAAATAGCACTTTCAAATGTCAAGTCCTTTTTGCCTCCAGTCTTTAAGTGCACCCTCACTCGAATGTCTTCTCCTCAGTGATGGCTTGGCTATTGTTTTGACAGCTGTTTTTTGCTACCTTAGGGACTAGAGTTGTTGCTGTTGTTAACTGCCATTGAGTCGATTCTGACCCATAGTGACCTTGTATAGGGTTTCCAAGGAGCAGCTGGTGAGCTTGAACCACCGACTTTGCAGTTCAAATGGCTTTGCAGTCTGGCACATTAACCTGCAGCGCCACACCAGGACTCCAACTACTAGTTACAAATCAGATTGCTAACCTCAAGGTCAGAAGTTTGAAACTACCAGCTGTTCTGTGGGAGAAAGATGAGGCATTCTGTTTTGGTAAAGATTTACAACCTCGGATTTCCAGGGTCACTATGAGTCGGAACTGACTCCATGGCACACCACCACCACCACCACTGGGACTAGAGTGGCCAACGTAGCTGATTTGTCTCTATGGATTTAGCAACCAAATTTCATGCTCTGAATCATTTTATAAATTTTCCAAAGCAGTTGCTTCTACATCTTCTCCTATTTATTTATTCATTTTTTAAAAAATCATTTAAAATCGTTTGAAGAATACAATGGAAAGATAAAGCGACACCATCAAATTATAAATTATTTTCTTTAAGCTTGGCATTTTAATAAAAGATAGGAAAAGAAGAGAATGGTCTGAATGGTTGTGATAACCTCACTACTTCTAGCACTTGGCAGACATTTTCATTAAATTACAATGAACATTGTCCACCAGCACGGTCATGTTCAACCTTTAGAATTTAACATTCATTCATTCTGCATACACTCCTATGAGTGTATTCGACCTATCTTGAGTGTGTTGTTACCAAGAATACAGCATACAGTGATAGAATTCTCACCTTCCATGTGGGATACCTAACCAACTTCGCTTCCTGGCCAGTGCGCACCCTACGCAGCCACTACATCTGCCGGTGGAGGCTTGAGTATTGTTATGATGCGTAACAGGTTTCAGTGGAGACACCAGACTGAGACAGACTAGGAAGAAAAGTTTGATGTTAGACTTCCAAAAACCAATCAGTGAAAACCCTGTAGATCAAACAGTCTGACCCACAAGCAAACATTGGGGTGTCACAGTACCAGGTAATATTTCATCCCATTGTGCATGTGGTCACCATGTGTTGGAGGCGGATTCAGCAACTAACCACAGCATTATCTAGGAATCAGTACAGAGTCTGCTGTGTTATAGACACTTACGAAACATAAAGGGAACTAAGGAAGTTACAAAGGAGCTAGAAAAGCCAACCAACTTCTGTATAATAGAATCAATATTATAAAATGAAACAACCCTTTTGCGGCATTTTATAGAGTATTTGTTGTTGTTAAGTGCCTTCGAGTCGGTTCCAACACATAGCGACCCTGTACAAGGTTCCCGAGGCTGTAAATCTTTACGGGAGCAGAACGCCTCATCTTTCTCCCGCAGAGCGGCTGGTAGTTTCGAACTGCTGGCCTTAAGGTTCGCAGCCCGATTTGTAACCACTACACTACCAGAGCTCCTTTTATAGAGTATAATGCAGAGTAAATAAAAGCTAGTGGCCAAGTAGTCTTAGATTAATTTGAGAAGGAACTCAAGCACAGTGAGTCAAAGAGCTTAATATTGCCCTTGGTGGTCCCATTATCACAGGTGTTGTTGCTAAGTGCTGTCGAGTAGGTTCCAACCCATAGCAACCCGGTATAGGTTTCCAAGGACCAGCTGATGAGCTTGAACCGCTGACCTTGCAGCTCAAACAGCTTTGCAGTCTGACACATTAACCCACAGCGCCACACCAGGACTCCTTATTATCACAGGTACCAAACCCAAAAATGTGGGATTTGTTCCAGGGTCCTCATTCTCCATTCCCTGCATCTAATTAGTTAAAGTAAAGATAAATAAGACATGTTAGCTTTCCTGTCCCAGAGGTATGAAGGGAAGACTGTTGGAGTGTGTTGTTGTTGTTAAGTGATGTTGAAGTGATTCCAACTCACAGTGACCCTGTATAGGGTTTCTGAGGAGCTTGTGGTAAGTTTGAACTGGCTAACTTTGTGGAGAAGTCTATAGCACCACACCAGGACTCCATGTTGGAGTAGTGTAGATATAATAACCAATCTGATGAAGAGGTTTGGAGCTTTGAAATTTAGTATCATCTTAATCTGTTTCTAAGTATAAATCCTAATCAATAAATAAGTCATATCATTTAATATGTTCTCTTTTTCTTAACTTGATAGACTTTTTTAAATTTAGCTGATTTTTGTCAAAAATAAAATATTTTCTACTTGAATTATTTCATTGCTGATGGCAGTAACTGGTATGGAGCTAAGCGCCATTGATGTGTTATTTCATTTGCATGTTTTTATTGTTGTTAAGTGTCTTGAGTCTGTTTTGACCCATAGTGACCCTGTAAAGGGTTTCCAAGGAGTGGCTGGTAGGTTTGAACTACTGACTTTGTGATTCAAACTGACCTTGCAGTCCAGCGCATTATCCCACAGTGCCACGCCAGGAATCTATTCATATACGTAGTCTTCTCTAAAAGGCTTATATATTTATCCTAGTTTATAAATGGAAAATGGATACTGAGAGAAGGAAAATAATTTGTCCAAGATTACCCAATTAGTAAATGGCAAAACCATCAAATTTCATGCTCTGAATAACTTTATAAATTTTCCAAAGCAGTTGCTTCTACATCTTCTCCTATTTATTTCTTTAAAACAAACAAACAAAAAAAACAACATTTAAAATCATTTGAAGGAAAGAAAACAATGGAAAGATAAATAAATTCAAATTATAAATTATTTTCTTTAAGCTTGACATTTCAATCAAAGATGGGAAAAGAGGATATTGGAATTAATGGTTGTGGTGACCTCGCTACTTCTCGCATATTTTAGATGTTTTCATCAAATTACAGTGATCATTGTCCACCAGCACGGTCATGTTCAATCTTTAGAATTTCACTTTCCTTTGTTCTGCATACACTCCGATGAGTATTTAGCTATCCATCACTGTGCTGAGCAGCCCGCAGAGCTCCCAGGATACAAAAGTGAGAAGACAGGACAGTTGAGGGTAGTTTTCACCAAAATATTGTCTAATATGCCCAGAAATATTAGGAAGGAATTATAATAGCCAAATCATGAGCTAACTAGTACAAGTGTGAGGTATCTGTGTTTAAGATGAAGTCTGAATTTAGGGGACTAGATACCATGTATGGGCTTATTGCTCCGCACATTTAAAGATCATGGTCCATATAAAGTGTTCCCTTAGGTAATGGACTAAGTACTGCAAACACTCATAGCCAAAGGTACCTTGAATGTGTTCAGTTCACCTTCATAAATATTTATGGAGTATTTTGCACTGTGTTACATAACCACAGCTCTGGAGAAGATTCCAACTCAGAATAGAACTGCCCCAAAGGGTTTCTAAGACTGTAAAACATTACGGAGGCAGACTGCCATATCTCTCTCCCATGGAAGAGCAGTTGAATTCCAGACACTTTTCAGGTAACAGCCAAGTGCTTTAAGCACTGTGCTACCAGAATTCCTCCATGCTGCATGCTGGGTCTTGACCACACAGTCTTCGGCCAAGTCTAGGGAGGGGACCTTATGCTACTCTTCCAGAGACAGTGGTCACAGGGCGTGAGCTTAGGAACCACATTTGTCATTGAGGATATGGTAAGAGATTCGCATGTCAGTCAGAGTAACTATAATACGTCCTAAAAGATTTTCTTCTCTGTGCATTTTTCAACATAGAAATTTACATTGCCTTTCATCCCACAGGAGTGGCTTGTGTTTGCTCTTGAATGAATGAGCCTGGGATAAGTCGTCTCTCAAATTTTCCTCCAATTTCTTTTACACTTTCAAGTGGGTATTTGAATTAGAATTTCTGGAACTTAGTCACTTGCTTTACTTAGAACTTTCCGTTGGTTATATTTACTCAACTGATGTGCGAAAATCCTGTCATTTTATAAAGAGGCTTCTGTTTAGAATACAAATATCACAACTTTAAAGAGCACAAATAACTGTGTGAAAAACACCTACTTCAGTTCCCATATCACAGGGAGGTAACTACTTGGTTGATTTCTATTCATGGGCAGCATCACGAATAACATATGTATCTGGTATACTTTAAGGAAGAAACTAATGCTCACCTATTAAATCTGTACTTAATATATGGACTAAGAATCTAAAACCCAGATTCTAGATTAAATGTTAACAGTTTGATTGGGTAACTCCCATGGCCTTCCTCAGTTCTACAAACCATAAATTACCTGCTGTCCTTTTGTTGTTGCTATTGTTAGCTGTTGCTGAGTTGGCCCAAAGTCATGGTGACCCCATGCCCAAGGAATGAAATGTTGTCCAGTTCCATACCATTCCTTTGATGTTTGGGGATCATCGGGACTCATAGGGTTTTCATTGGCTGATTTTCAGAAATCGATCACCAGGCTTCTCTTTCTATTCTGTTTTAGTCTGGAAGTTCCACTGAAACTGGCTTAGTATTATAGCAAAACAAAGCCTCCATTGACAGACAAGTGCCTGAGGGGCTCGTGCATGGAAGAAGAGAATTCTACCACAGAACATACTGCACCTAACCCTTAGACTATAGAGCAGAGCAGTTAGCTGTAAGTGGGAAGTGTGTGCTGGACTCTGAAAGCTAAAAAATACTATAAAGGAAAAAAAAATAGAGAAAAATAAAGGTTAATATTATAATAAATGGAGTCCTGGTGTGGCGCTGTAAGATAAACACTAGACCGAAAGGTTGGTTTGAAACATGAGGTAGGTGGTTCAAACTCACCAGCCGATTTTTAGAAACTATATACAGGGTCTCTATGAGTCCGAACCAACTCGATGGCACTTAACAATATTTGAGTCTTCAAAGTTACAGATTCTCCACCTGTGAAATATAGAGGCTTGACCAGATAGCATCTAATAATATATTTAGCAGAGACCTGCAGGATAACACGCTGGATGGCAAGGTCAGATTGAAACACAGGTCAGTGGTTCAAAACACCAGCCACTCCTTGAAAAATCTATAGAGTCACTATGGGTCGGAACCAACTTGATGGCATTTAACAACGACAAATACATTTAGTACATGAATGTGGTGAACTATGTTTTGCAAATTTATTTTTTCATAGTCATGGAGGTTCAGTGGAAAAAATAATTGTTGATTATGTGACTTTGGCTTTACGTATGACTCCTAATTATCCTTCAAGTCTCAGGGAATGCTTCAGTTCCTTCAAGAAGGCTTCAGTCTAGTTCTTTTCCCTTCCTGTCTGCTCCCATGGTGACCTCAATACAACTCCAGAAGAGCACGTGGCACACTGCACCTCAGTTCCTACTACTGACCTGTCTTCTCAGTCCCTATTGTTGTTGTTAGTTGTCACTTCGTTGGCTATGGCTCCTGGTGACATTTTATCTGAGAGAAGGAAATGGTGCCTAGTTCTGTACCCTCTTCATGATCATTGGTCAGTTTGAGTCCATGTTAGAGCTGGCCTCTGCCTGACTTCTGCTGTTCCCAGGTTGAAGGATGCCCAGGAAACTAAACTCCTTCACAGAACTTGGCATTGTTCCCTGATGATTCTGTGAGCTCTGTGTTACCCCTGTGTTTTTGTGCCTTTTACAGTTTCACAACCAAAGATGAGCTGGGAACGGCAACACCTCAGCTCCTGATTCCTGGGCTGATGGGAGAATCTTCTGAATCCTTCAGTGCCCCAGAGGACGAAGGCCAAAGAGAATACCAGACCAATGATTCTGACTCTGATGGACCTATTTTGTACACCGATGACGACGAAGATGAGGATGAGGATGGCAGTGGAGAAAGTAAGACAGCTTTTCAGGGGGTAAAGAGGTGGTGGCGAGAAGCAGCTGAGTTCTAGGCTTAGTTCTGGCTTCTAGACCAGCCTTGTCACTTTGGTTGGGCACCACACATGGCCTTACTCATTTCTGTGACCCATCAATTATCTGCTCTCCATATACTATAGAGCACTCATAACTTGGAAATATATGCAGAACTCTTTGAACAAGATGTTTTCTTTCTTCTCAGCTTCCTTTCCCAAATTAAAAATGTGTTTATGCTAAGATTTATCTTGCGATTACAAGCCATTCTAGTAAATGATTCCATAGGGTTGGAGGTCAAGTCTATGAGGCAGATGTATATACTTTTATTTGTACAAAAGACCTAAGCCCTCTAATGATAGAGGCCTTCTCAGAGTCATCAAAGATGACCCTTCCACCTAGAATCATTCATTAGATTACTCATTGGAGGTGTTTAAGAGCTACTTTCACTTTTATGCTCTTTTGTAAAGAGGGGGAAGAGTACTTGGCTCAGTGATTAAACACTCAACTGCACCAAAAGGTCAGAAGTTCAAACCCACCAGAGGGTCTATGGGAGATGAGACCTTGCAATCTGTTCCTCTAAAGATTTACAACCTAGGAAACTGTGTAGGGCCATTCTGCTCTGTCAGATAGGGGCTCTATAAATCAGAAGTGAGTCGGTGGCAAAACAACAGAGAAAGGAGGGAGGAATGAGTCAAGAATGATAAATGCCTTTTAGCAATTAGAAGCAAGCCTTCATCCACAATAAGTGGGATGATCTGCCTTCCAAGAAGTAATGGTTGTAAAGTGGATAAAGCCAACCCTTTATTTGTTGTTGTTGTTGTTGTTGTTGTTGTTGTTGTTGTTAAGTGCCATCAAGTAGGTTCCAACTCATAGTGATCCGGTATAGGGTTTCCTAGGAACTGCTGATGAGTATGAACTGCCAGCCTTGCGGTTCCAACTGACCTTGTGATTCAGCGCTTATCCTACAGTGCTACATCTGGGCTCCTTTAGTTAGAGAACAGAAAAGTGCTGTTTTGTTTTGTTTTGCTTTGCTTTGGAATCAGAAGCTGCGGTGTTGCCGTTCCCAGCTCATCTTTGGTTGTGAAACTGTAAAAGGCACAAAAACACAGGGGTAACACAGAGCTCACAGAATCATCAGGGAACAATGCCAAGTTCTGTGAAGGAGTTTAGTTTCCTGGGCATCCTTCAACCTGGGAACAGCAGAAGTCAGGCAGAGGCCAGCTCTAACATGGACTCAAACTGACCAATGATCATGAAGAGGGTACAGAACTAGGCACCATTTCCTTCTCTCAGATAAAATGTCACCAGGAGCCATAGCCAACGAAGTGACAACTAACAACAACAATAGGGACTGAGAAGACAGGTCAGTAGTAGGAACTGAGGTGCAGTGTGCCACGTGCTCTTCTGGAGTTGTATTGAGGTCACCATGGGAGCAGACAGGAAGGGAAAAGAACTAGACTGAAGCCTTCTTGAAGGAACTGAAGCATTCCCTGAGACTTTTTTTTTTTTTTTGCTTTACTTTTAGCTTCTGAGCAGGATAACTTGGGAAACATTTAGTGTGACATTGAATTTATAGATTATGAATAATTATATATATAAGTAATTTAACACCATTTTGTCAAATTATTTCTACTTTATGTTGATTTAAAAAAAATCATTATCATCCATCTGCTATTAATTATCATCTGTGGAGATTTTACAAACTCTTGGTATTTGAGAATTAAAATTTTAATATAAATTGTGTACTATTTGCCAACATGGAAAGAGATGAAAAGGATTTACTATATAGGATAAGTAAGCTTTTTCCATTTTTTTAAAACATGAAGAAAAAAGAAAAAGCATTATGCAGTCAGAAATTTTCATCATACTCCATGTTAGCAAAATAACCTTGAAATATCCCTTCCCAAATGATTAAGTGCTAATTGGAAGTTTTTCATGGTGCCCCAACATTTTTCAAAACTTTTTATTTTTTAATTAATCTTTCTTCAGCCATCTCAAAATGAACTACATCCAATTCAAAACTTTTTTCCTTTAGGTTAATTAAAATTCCACTCTTGCATGTGGGGTGAAGAATTTGGTCTGGACCTCTGCTGAAAGTCCCTGCCACATGTAACCCAAGTGCCACTTCCTAAAATCCTCTTTCTCTACATTTCTGCAATCCTCAGGTGCTTTGGCAAGTAAAATACGACGAAGGGATACTCTTGCTATCAAACTTGGCAACAGACCATCTAAGAAAGAATTAGAGGACAAAAACATCCTGCAGCGTACATCTGAAGAAGAGAGGCAGGAAATCCGACAACAAATTGGAACCAAGCTAGTCAGGTAACTGCTGAGATGTTAATGGTAGGAGCTATTGTTGTTAAGTGCCGTGGAGTGGGTTCCGACGCATAGTGACTCTGTATAGGGTTTCTAAGGAACAGCTGGTAGATTTGAACCACTGACCTTTTGGTTAGCAGTTCAATACTTATCCTACAGTGCCACGCGTAACTAATTCACTTTTTCCTCCCTCTTGCTCTTCCCTACCTAAAGGAAATAATTGTGAATCGCTCAAACATGGCAGCACATAACTGTATTGGTCTTTTAAAGTTGGTCTTGGATGGTGAACCACTCAAGGAAGCTGTTCTTGAGTCCAGTTTGTCAAGTTGCCAAAACTTAATCCAGCAGTTGGCAGACTTTTGCTATAAAGAACCAGTTAGTAAATATTTACTGTTTGAGAACCAGATGATCTCTGTTGCAACTACTCAACTTTGCTGTTGTAGCGTGAAAACAGACATAAAGAATGCATAAACAAATGAGCCCTGGCTGTGTGCCAATAAAACTTTATTTACCAAAATAGGCGTCAGGCTGAATTTAGCCTGTAGGCTGATGTTTGCTGACTCCTGGCCTAAACCAGGGGCTCACTAGCATTCCTGTTGAATAAATACCATGAGGGCTGTGAGACTGTAGTAATATTAATTAACTACCCTGACTCGTCTCTATCCAAGTCAGGTAGCCATAGCCCTATATTTAAACTGTCCATTTTCATTTCAAATAAATGGATTGGTTTCCTTCTCTCTCTGCATCCAGGATGATATAGATAGTATTTATGCTTTTGCCAGTAGTGACTTTGAAATTCTCTGTGGCCATGAGTAAACAGGAAACAATTGCTGTTGAGTTGACGCCTGACTCTTGGCAACCCCATGTGTGTCAGAGTAGAATTGTGCTCCATCCAACCAGATGAGAGCTGAGTTTTCAGAAGTGGCTTTCAAGTCTTTTTTCCAAGACACCTCTGAGCAGACTTGAACTGCCAACGTTCTAAGTCTATTAACCTTTTTTTTTTCTTTTTTTTAATGTTTTATTGTGAATTATATGATAGTTTACATGTTTACATGAGAGAACTTTAGTTTTACATTCATTCCATCGTATATCATTTCATTGCCATGGTTCCAATCCCCTTCATGTATCATCAACCGACCAAAGGGTATATCCTAGAAACCCGCCCCCTATCCTCCCCCCCTCCCCCCTAGTCTTCAGCCCACAG